GCAGGAGGCGCACTGCGGCGCGGGCATCTTGGACTCGGGCCGGTGGCAGGGGTCCGCCTCTCCTGGACTAGGACAGAAGGGAGGCGCGTTACAGGTTGATTCTGGGTTGTTGGGTCGTTGCCTCCAGGGAGGCTGCCTGGATAGCGCCCTCGGAGTGTGCCAGTGAAGCAGGCTCCTGGAGATGGGGCAGCCATCTGGCTTAAAGAGGCTGCCAGGGTACGAAGCCAGAGGGATCCTGCTCTGTATCTCCTCTACACCCCCTCACGCATCTCCCCTCACTTCGGGAAAAGCTAATGGCCTGTGAAACCCTATGCGACCTGGCTCCCAATCCTCAGCCTCGTCCTGCGACCTCATCGCCCAGTCTCCTTCAGCCATGCGGGCCTCTCCCCTCAAACGCCTCGGGGACACTCCTGTCTGCAGGTGTTTGCACTGGCTCTTCCCTGCCCCTGGGCTCAGCGGGGAGCTCCCGGGTTCCATCCACCATGACCACCTGTCACAGCTGAGCAGCGCCCCCTTGAAATTTTTTCTCCCTCTAGTCTTTTGTTTTAGAATAGCTTATTGATTTGGAGAGAGAGAGGGAGAAGAGAGAAACATTGACGTGAGAGTACAACATCAATGGGCTGCCTCCCGCACGCACGCACCCTGACCAGGTTGCACGCAACCCAGGCATGTGCCCCACTGGGAATCAAACCCGCAACGCTCCGGTACTCGGGAGGATGCCCAACGAACTGAGCCACACTGGCCAAGGCTCTCCGTCTGGTTTTTGACTTGATCCTTCCTTACTCTCCTGGTTTGTTTGTTTTTTTGGTTTTGTCTCCTGCTGAGTCTCCAGTCATTTCCGGAGACTCCTCTTCATGGTCATCAGGTCCTGCCTAGCTCGCTCTCCTTGTGGGTGACTCTGAACGGCAGCTGAGCCTTTTCTCAGATCCTGATTGCCCAAACCGACCATCCCCTCCCCCTCCCCCTCTCCCCAGGCAGAAACCTGTTCTTGCCCAGCTGTTTCCCATCTCCTGCGAGCACCACCACCTTCCACCCAGCTCCTCCACAGGCCAGGACATAGTCACTCTGGACTCATCTCTCCCCTTCCCCTAAAATCTACAGTCACCTGGGGGATACCTCCTGAAGGCGGAAGACCATCAGAAGATGAGTCTGCAGGCTGTCAGAGACTCACAGGTCACAATGTACAGTTTTAATTTTATTCAGACGGAGATGGGAGACATGGAAGGGTTTTGAGCAGAGAAGGGATATAACCTGACTTAGGTATTAAAAGGACCCCTTTGACTGCTGTAAGGAGAACAGGCTCTACCCTACAAGGGCAGGGGCAGGGGCAGGGAGGCCATGGAGGAGGCTATGGGGCAGTCAATAGCCAGTGAGAGATGACAGTGGAAGAGACGACTGAATGGGGGTGGGAACTGAGTTCTGGATCTGTTTTGAAGGTAGACTCCGTAGGACTTGCAGAAGACGCGGGCTGGAGGGGAGGACTGGGCAATGAGAAAGGAGGAATGAAGAATGACTTGGAGGTTTTGGCCAAAGTACCTGGGAGGAGGATGGGACCATTAGGGGGGCCGGCCAGGAATTCCACGGGGACATGTCAGGTTTGAAGTGCCTGTTAAGCATCTTCCCCTGGAAGACTATGGACTCTAGGCTGGGCCAGGCGCCTCCCCTGGGCTCCACCCCAGCCTGCCCAGACTCCAGCTGTCACAGGGACAGGCCTGCCTGCCCCACTGCGCTGCGAGCTCGCTAACGGCAGGGACTGGGCCTGCCTCTCCACCACTGTCTGCCTCCACTTCGCACGGGGTGTGGCACACAGTCAGCACTGTGTAGGACGAGGGAGGTGTACGTGCACCCGGAGGGCAGCGCGCGGGAACCTGGATGCCTCGGGCCTGCTGCCTTGGCAGAGGATGGGTATTGTGGCATCTATCATGACAGGTTCTAGGGCAGAGTAGTGACCTCCCGGGTGAACCCGATTAGAGGCGGG